GACAATTATGTTGGATTGAATTGTTGTTTTAAATGCTGGTTTGACCTTCTCTTACGTACTTTCCGTTCTTTATTCCAACATATTCTAAATAATTCTTGTCCTTCTCTCCTTTTCGGACGACATGGTTGTGTTTTCTACCTTTTCCCCTCCGTCCCTGTACTCTCTCTTCCCACCTTCTCTAACTTGCTGCATCCTGGTTGTTGTGAGGAGATGCTTGGCTGCTAGTGGCTCAGGTACGGGAATAAACAGGAATAAACAGGAATTAACGGGTCTAAACGTGCGTATGCTGGTGTGATCCTCATTATTGGAGCGACGAGCTGTGATTTCAGGGGAAAGAGGGTTTGACACTTACTGCGAGACGTCATGTGCCAAACATTGCTCTACAAAAAAGACAAAAGAACTTCACTCTTACTGACTTCTCTTTTCTGTTTCCATCTCAACAACGTATTTGCCGGTTCTCTACCACAAACTAAACGCATGATATTATATCAGTGTCCCTTGTCGGTTTACCCACCTGCTGCAGTACAGAGCTCGTATGGTTTGGCACAATGTGGTTTGTTTACTGTTATGTAATAGTTTGGGCTATTTATGCAGCTTCAACTTTGGAAAATGCCACTATGAATACCAACTGTGTTGCTTTGCATCCCCACTGCCTCTTCATGGGTATTTACCACTTCTGGACGGGTCCCAGGCTCAGATTTATGGCTCAAGGCTGAAATAGATGTCAGAAAGGTCGGCACTTGCACTTCTATTGGGAAAATTCAATATGGTGTTACTTTGGTGGGTGTGAAAAGAGAGGTGAGGTGAGGTGATGATATAAATGGACTGAAATGCTTTGAATGTGCAAAATATTTGGGACCTGACACAGAGTTGCAGACCGCATTTTGTGCAATTCAAAAATCTCGCCTGCTTCTCTTATGTGACGGTGTAGATTATGCAAGTCAAGTCAATAAGGAATAATGGTTTGAGTCCAACTCACCTTTGAACCAATATTTTGTAGATATGTAAAACGCAGAGACAATACAGTCGATTTTTGTTTGTGTTTGGTGCTGAAAATAGGCAGTCAGGGTGGGAAGAAGATTCTACGGAGCATTATATCCAACTTAATGGGTTTGCATTCTGTAAACGTTAAAGTGCTGCAGTTTTCCCCATCGAATGGATCATCGTTTCTCTCATCTTTTCCATCTTTTGTCACGGGCAGCAGCAACTATTGTCTGATGCATTGCTTCTGTCAGAGACAGCTGTGTGTGTGTGAGAGAGAGCGAATTCATAAACTATAATAGAAGACTGCGGCTTTTAATGCTACATCAAGTGCAAGTGACATATTTCATTGCCTGCATGCATTTTTTATTGAATTGGACGTTGAATGAAAAACATAGCAGGACTTTTCATTTAGTGACTGTTGGGTTGATTCGAAACGAATGAAGGCATTCATTTGCACAATCGTGCATTTATGTCTATATCATGTGTGATTCATGAGGACTTCGAGTCAGGAAATTATGCTTAAAGAACTATGTTGAGAACAGAAAATGAAATGAGCGTTTCAGGGATTTTCTGCGCTGTCAGCAATAAGCTTTTTATTAATCTGTGCACTGAGGATAAATTAATATTTTATGTCTGAGAAAGGAGCAGGAGACAATAGGTCAAACGTTGACGTACCTGTATTAAATCTGTTCTATAGTTAAAAGATTGGATCCAGTCTCCAGAGAGTCATTTTTACACCGTGGAGAATCACGCCAGAACATCTTTAACTTCAAACCCATGGGGTTCGGCCTTTGAGGCATTTTCACAAGTTTCTACTATGCCACAGCTGAATTATTCTTTAGGAAAATCAATTCCATCCAGGCGAGCTTTGGAGGAGGTTCTTTAGTATTAAAATCCTCAAGAATATCAATCAGCCAGCCAGCCTTTGAGCAGGTGAGAAGAACAAAAGTTCTGATGTTTTTTCTGTTTTTCCACAGGGGCTTTCATTCTGGTCAGCTAATTTTGTTACACTTGGGCAGGACAATGCTAGCTTCATTTTTGCTCTGATATCGTCATATCATACAAAGTAAAACAGATGTTAAGCCTTAAATTTAACCTTTAAGTGTACAGGCGATAATGACCACATTTGTGTCACGGAGAATTAAACAAAGTCATTGATATCGCTTACAAATTGTAGCGTGGATTTAGTCGTTAGCCCTGTGACACATCACATGTGCATGTGGGAACAAGAGCCTTCTGGACAGAATCACATCTGTTGACTCCGTCCGCGTGTGTGTGACGAGTGCTGTCGTGGATAAAGAAGCCAGATCTCCCGGCGAGCGACTTCCAACGTTACGTCATCTGTCGGTATCAATTAACCTCCAGCCGCTAAGTCTGGAGAGGTCTGAGGCCAAGCGCCCCCGAAGCCAAGAGCTGCAGACAGAGGAGATAATCGGGGAAAGTGTCGCTGAAAGGCCGGAGACGTCCTGCAGGTTTGAATGTCGTACGCCAACATCGGCCTGTGAATGCGGCACAGAAAATGCGCTTTGTCTCTGTCTCGCCATAAGTTTACGTTAGGCCTTTAATGCTGGGTGTTAATTCACACCCTTTTTAAAATGACTGTGTGTTATTTGCTTTACACAGTCACCACCACTTGTGTTCCTATGGTAACGAAGAATGTACCCCCCCCCCCTCTTCTTCCGGCACTTGTGTGCTTATGGTTTTAGCTTTGCAGTGGAATGATAATGGGGACGTAGTATTTGTGAGTGGGAGGGCAAATTATATTTACAATTCATTTTGATGGAACATTAGCCATTTCGCTTTTTAATACATAATTAATAATTAATCCGGGTTGCAGTCTGCCATCGATGACGGGAGGATCGCGCCTTGAACGGTGCCCCAACGCAGACAGACAAATAATGCGCCGGCCTTCTCTCTGCCGTCTGTTTGAACTTTCTCAGAGACACAAAGTTTAAGTTCCCACTCAGACTAGCAGGTGCTGCCTGCAGGTTTCTGCCCAGTTGCTTTCAAAAGTGCCCACCAGACTGTAACCGAGGCTGGAGACAGTTTGCGTGTGTGTGTGTGTGTGTGTGTGTGTGTGTGTGTGTGTCTGTGTGTGTGTGTGTGCGGTGGAGAGGCAGGCTCCTCCGACCCCTCAGATCTCCATCTGGACTGTTGGGGGCTGTGACTTAGGAGTGCAGGGCCTGAGCGGGGGAGTAAATTGCCTTTTAATCGATCATATTCCCAGTGAAAGCCACTCCCAGCAGCCACTTGCCTGCTTTCCATTCTATTTATGGATAGTGTGTGTGTGCGACAGAAATAGAGGGACAGTCAGGGGGAATTTTGTGTTGACCACGCCGCGTTAGTAAGAACTAAATCATGTTTTCCACTCTTCAGCCTTGTGAAACAATATACTTTTTACTCACTTAAAGTCGTCGTAATGGCTTCGGCTGACATGAAGGCTGACAGTGGGCTGCTCCTCTGCATCTGCACAAGGCATTGATTTGGGTGCAATGAAACGTGAGCATCAGACGCTGCTCTATTAACAAAAAGAACCCTGGCCACCATTAGACACCGCGGAGCGACAGTCAAACATGTTGTGCGCTTTTATGGAAGCCCAACAATGCTGTAATGTGATAATGTTTTCCCAGCTCCACTTACATCTTGGATCTATTTTCAGTCTGATGCCCAGTCTGTGACACTAACAAGCGCTACTGTGAAGCGTGCGCGGCTAGTAAATTATGACTCAGCCCACTGGTGCGGCTGATTGTTGGATCCATTTTCTAAGGTGCCGTTGTAATCTGGGCCTCGGGGCTCTTGAAAAGGAAGTTTAAGTCTGTATTTGCTTGCTGTGTAAAACAATTAGTTTGTTCTTTTCATGAAGAATGGAATCACCCCCTTAAAAGAACAACACCTTTGACACAGATGGTGTCATATAAAATGAACAACGCCAATGAATAAGGCCATCGCTTGCAAGCTCTCCTGTCAGATTTCATTCACTCCCAGGAAATGTAAGACAGCTTTTTACGATCCACTGATATTTTAGAATTTAGGCGTGCCTTTCTTTCTAAGCAGTGCACCAGAAAATGCATGACTATTAATCTTACTATGTAGAAGAGGACCTGAATTAGAGGATACAACATTTATGAAAGATCCTCCAATTATCTTGCATCTCATCTCCTTTTTCTTTTTTTACAGAGCAGATTACTGAGAAAAAAAAGAAAAGAAAAAGACTCCAGTTAAACAATTGCTTCATATGGTCCCAAAGTGTTCTTTCGTTTTATTTATTTGCAAATTTCTTCAGGAGGTTCGTGTTGAGCTCTCAGGGTTATTATTCACTTTTTTGTTAAGGATGTCTGCAACATCTGCGGCGTCTGCATTTAATCCAATTGTGCTCGTAGTTAAAGCAGTTCATTCATATTTCAAGTGCCCACTTGAAATAATAATTAAGTAAAAAGGTCAAGTTAAAACGGGCAATAATTGCCATTTATTATATTGTATTTCTATTCTATTCCTACAAGTGCTATCTTAAAACAATATGATCCAGATGTCTTTGCCAACAGGTCACGGCAGAGATTATTTTTGCCAGCCGGCATCTAGTGTTCAACCGAGGATAAAGTGTACATACGTGATATATAAGGAACATTCAAAAGCCATTTTCTAGTTTATTTTCTTTAAATCCCCGTGGGCCACTGAAATGGGCAGCGAGCCGCAGTTGCTCGGCAGCTTTAGAATGTTGGTAAATTATGAAGTGAAAACTAACTCACGCTGTCCGAAGCCAAGAGTAATAAAATGAACCCGCTTAACTAAATGAATGTGATTGTTTTCATTCACTGCTTGGATTCAAGATGGAGGAGGCAAAGCATCCCGAAGCTCATGGAAAGGTGCAAGCCAGACATGCAGCATAATTCTTATAGCTCTTATAAACATGTTATACCTTGTTTGTTTAGTCCTTATGTCTGAGTTAATTGACTTCTTGGCTGCCTGCAGGGAGGGCACCGTTTTTCTAAAGATGAATTCCCTCTCTGTTTTTGCAGGTGTCGCATCTTAAGTGTTGTGCCTCTGCGGTGATAAATGTCAGCCAGTCCTGATATTTGCATGGGTCTTTCTCCTCAACCGAAAGGTGAGTACTTCCTCTCCTCAAACGGACGTGCTGTGGTTCACTGTCACCACTAAACTCTTCTTACTAAGCTGTTGAAAACAGCACATCTGGAGTCGTGATGACGGATTACACACGTGCAACATGTGGTTTAGTGACTGGGGAACGCACAACTTTGGTGTCACATTTTATAGCGTGGCACATTCAAAGATAACGCAACACACTTTTAGAGCAAAATACACAATCTCTATTGCACATTTGTATTTTATACAAAGGAAGGTAATGCTGTGTAAGGCCAAGATGCTTTTAACAACTTTGCCGGGTTGCCGTTGCTTTCACTGTCTTCCAAAGAACTGATGTTCTTTTCTCAAAGAGGAAAAGTCTGGTTGCCACCTGACAAACAATTCACGCCTCGATGACGGTTGCCTGGGAGCTGCAAACTGAAGTTGAACCCATTCGCGGAAGCTCTGTTTCCAAAGAGAAAGAAGAGAAAAAAGTTCGGCAGAACAGGCGGTCTTTTCTTTGGTCGCTTTGACACGAGGACTCTCTTTAGCCGTTGATTTACAAGAACGCTGAATTGCTACATTATGCCGTTCCTTTTTGCCCCTGCGGTTAATCTTTGTGTCTGGCAGATGAAGCTGGGCATTCGCATGGTTTGACTGAGAAAAGTGGATTCCCAACTACAGGTCGTGTTTTGTTCCTGCCTCGGTTTTGGAGCTTTTTTTAGTGGGTCTGAGCCACCGGCGCTGGCGGATCCGGAGAGGGAGCAGTACATCACCAGAGCCGCGTCCACGCCCCTCCCAACCGGGAGTTATGGCCTGGCCTCGGATGAGATATCTGCTTTAAAATGTGACACGAGAGGAAGATTTAAATACCTGCAAAAAAAAAAAAAAATGTCCTGCACCACGGTGAAGACAGCATGCCCTTGTTGAAAGCGGTGCTACGGGAGATTAACTCGGCTCCAGCACCTCCCCTCGGGCCAGGCTTCAGCCCCGGATGGTGCCTTCTCCCATATTCCTCATGGGAACAACGTGGCCTCACTGCCTGCTGGCATTTTTAAGTGTTCAGCACAATGGTTGTTAGTTTGCTTATGATTGACGATTAGTTTTTCTACCTATCCAAAGCCGTAAAAAAAAAAAAAAAAAAACGCCTCCTTTTTATGATTTACTAAGTTGGGAATAAGTGGCCATCTGTGGCTTGCTATGAAAAAGGGGCCAAATCACTGACACATGTGCAATTACTGAAGCATCCTACTGCACAACCGGGAGTCATTCTGCGGATACTTTTTGAATTATAGCCAGTGCAAATAATGTATCCACGCATTTCTTATGCCTTTCTGGAGACCTGCAGAAAGTTCTCCTTAGATCACTTACCTGGCAAAGATTGTGGTTGCAGAATGCAATTTTTTGAATGTCTCCATTTTACACGGTAAGTAATGTTTAGTAATCATCTTGCTTAGTAATTCACTTTCTTCCATTCATATTATATTGACTTTTTCATAATAATAAAGTAAATAATATGATGTTTAACGTCTTGTTAAGAGCCGGCAACACACAGCTGCAGTTTGTATCGTATGTATAATCTCAGTTGTGTGGCATCTTACCGGGGCAGATTTCTCTCTTCAAATACAATGTTCAGTGGGCCCTTTGTCAGGAAAACGTCTGCAGCGGCCTTTCGGATACGCTGTATACAATGTTGACATGAGGGATTAAGAGGTTCTGCTTGTAACCCTTACCAAGTAAATGCTTGTCAGAAAAGGTTAAGTGCATCAGCACAGGCACAGTGCACTTATTCATCCACATTCCCCACTTCTCAACGCAGTTTTGCACCCTAATGGCATCTGTTTAATTAACTCTCTGGAGCTTCAATAAGAAAGGAACACTTTTAAATAATGGAAATACATATTAATGGGCTGGTAAGGGCCCGTTTATAGTTGACCGTCACTGTGAATGCATGCGTTGTTTGGATATAGACTCTGTGATTAAACTCTCATCCTTTCAGGTTTAAGAGCAACTTCTTAAGTATCTTTGATGAGTATAATGCCAATTCAACGTGCATCATTTATCCATGTACTTTAACATGGTTATAGTCCTTACTAACAACAGGGTGAGAATTCGCAAATTTCGACCAAACATCTCAGACAGAGTGGCCTTCTCAATGATGCTTGACTTTATTTTCTGTTTCTCTCTCTTTCAATGACACGTTTTGATAATCTGGTGTTTTCTTCTGCATTTTGAACAGGTACCAGAGATCTGTATGTTCCTGGTTTCAAAATAATGAAGATAGATGAGAATTTATTAAAGGGAATTATACTTTTATTTTGATCCCCGTCCTTTCACATTACATTTTTCTTTTAACTTCACAAATAAGAACCCTTTCACAAAAGAATTGCTCCCAAGTGACAATCAGGTTCTCCTTATCCAGCCTGGTGACCTGAGGAAGTCTTCCGATTGTCTTTATTGCTCATTTTGCCGCAGTAAGCCGCTGTTTTCCATTGTATCCACTGAGAGCATATTAATGAGCTTTAACTTTAATAAGTTAAAGCGCACCGAGTGAGAGGAGCTCTTCTTATGACCGGATCTGGCACCGCGAATTGGTTGAGACAGCGGGTGAAATGAGTTTGCAGCCGGCAATTTAACTCAAGTCCACATTGGAATTTGCAATCTTTCTAGGAAATTACAGGTTGTAATGATGAAGCCTTCAAGTTCGTCCTTGTTATATTTAGCACAGTAGTGATTCTAACCTGTAACTTGTAACACGCCATTTTCCATGCATCTCATTCGGGGCAAAGCACCTACATTGCGGAAAAAAAAGGATTTACGCCTTCATAGACGATTGCACGTTTGGCCTGAGTAGAAAACGAAAGAGGCGATGTAGGCGTAGCTGCTGTTGAGCTGACATTTGCAGAGGCTCCAGACATGTTTGTGGTTCGAGGATTCGACTTGCAACTCTCAACCAAAATTCCTGTTTATTTGCATCGCGGTCACCCTGCTACTAGGAATATACTCCTCCTCCGTCACTGCTACCACATTAGTTAGACTATGGAAATGCTTTCCAGAGCAGTGCAGGCGGACTGTGCACTGAGCTCTAGGGGGCTTTTTGCTTTGTGGGGGACAATGATGGGTGTAAAGTCTGATGATGCGACCCCCAGGAGGACCGCTGCCTTTAGTTTGGGCCGTGCCACGCTGTTATTTAAGAAAGCAGAAACAGAAAACCAATAGTTCCTTTTTTTGGCTCCATACGATTATGTGACGGCAGGCCGTGCAGCGTTGCACTCGCCGTGGTGTTTTGAGACAGTATTCGGATGTGTGACGGTGATGCAGCGGAGGGTGGCGAGCTGCGAGCGTGACTGATCTGGGATCCTCCTGTGTGATGCTGGCCGTCCTTCATGCCTCACGCGGCAGTAGAGGGAGGGTACGGGACAAGTCGGAGGCATAGTAGCATTGTAGATCGCTGTGTGGCCTGTGCTTTCATTAAGGAGTCAGGCAGGTGGCCTAGAAGGTTTGAGGTGATTTTAGTGACATTTCACATAACATATTTATCTCCACTCTTTGTTCCTCCTTCACAAAGTAATGCAAATGCATCCGATATTCCGCTCTGGGTAAATCCGTCTTTGTATCCTCGCATTGGCCTTTCGGTGGTTTTTAGCTGGCTGTTGCTGGGGGGGCGGCGAGCGGTGAGCAGGGTTGACCCTCACACAGCAGGTTGAGCGAACACATTTTCCTGACATTGTATAGCAGCAATTCTTGGGTGCACTTTTTCTGGCATGCCCACATGCTTCATATGACACATATATGCGCTTTGAGGGAGCATCTGTTTGTGTGCTCTGCCCTCTGGGTGAGCCCATTGTCAACGTCAAATTAGAATGATTCATTTTTAAAATGTATGTTCAATTTATTACACAAAGTCTTTGACCTCTTTTGACTGCACCGCCTCCACTTCACACAAATTCATTATTATAGAACGGCCCTACAGAGACCTGCTAATTCTGTTTTAATGTCACAGTTTTCATTGTGAATGTCATTACAATAATGACAAAACTGAATGAATGAGCGCTCTGAACACAAATCCTCGCCTTATGTGCGAAAGGAGTGAAATTGGGAACGTACAGCGCCTCTGTATTAATAGGATTGCTTTGTTCTTATTCAGCCTCAATGAGAGAAATTCAAGTTGTCCTCTTCTGATTGCTTCCCAACTGGCTTGAGCTCCTCCGTGTTGTACTCCTTTGTGGGACTGCTAATATAATTGTAAAGTGAACAGGAAAAGAGAACCAATTCAATCCAACTAAATCAAAACTTTTTGCACAAAGGGTCATGGTCAAGACAAAAAAAAAAACCTCGTATGTGCAACATACTCGGCAAAAGATTTGTTGTGATTCTCATTCTTTTACCAGAGACTCAAAAGCTCAGTTTGAATCCAGAATGCCAGTTAACCCTGAGTTTCTAAAACTGTCTTTTGTTACATTTAGGTTATAATAAACAATATTAACAATAATAAGCCCTATGTGCAAGCATCAGCAGCTATAGATTACACCATACACAATTCACCAGTGTACAGGAGCAGTATTAAGCCGACTTTAAGGATAATCTCTCTATAGGCCTATATATAATATATAAAATGTATACATTTATGTATACCCCTTTTTACTTTGCTACTGTAACAGTAACGGCAATATTGCAGATCTTTCATCCGTATCGATAAGCTAAAGCTAAAACTAAGCTAAAATGCACCGTTAAGCTAAAATGCACTGATGATTTCATCTGCAGAGATGATGATGATGATGATCGTCACTACGATCGACATCCATCCATCCATCCATCCATCGTCAAACCGCTTATCCTGCACACAGGGTCGCGGGGGGGCTGGAGTCTATACCAGCCAACTTCGGGCGATAGACAGGGTACACCTTGGATTGGTCGCCAGCCAATCACAGGGCTAACAGAGACATACAACCATTCACACTCACATTCACACACCTACGGGAAATTTAAAGTCCCCAATTAACCTGATCCCCAGAGCATGTC